TGGACGAAATTCGGAAATAAAATCGAGAATAAAAATTGGCAGAGCTTCCGCAAGGTTTTTGTGAACTAAACTCTCCTTACTTTTCTTTCTAAGTCTAAGCTATATATCGAGAATAAAAGTACGGTTGGAAAAATATCTGAGTTCCTAAATTCTTGGTTTTACTGAGAAAAATGAGGAGAAAGTGGCCTTGGAAGTTGGAGAGAATTTAGGCACGTATGCATGCTTTACTTGACCACTTCATTCAGTTTTACCACGTTTTGTTGCTTGACCACGTTCAAAATTTAACACTTAAAAGCTTGTTACGGGCGTGGCTGGGGCGTTACGCGCAATTTGCATGAAATAGCGCGTTACGGTCGTGGCAGGGGTGTGACGACCGTCACACTCTTCTGAAGCATCTTACGGTCGTGGCAGGGATGTGACGACCGTAACATCAGCAAAAAAATGGATTTCTTGACAGATTTATCTTTTCTCTTTGGTCTTGGCCGTAATCTCGCGCATTTCACGTTTCTTCTTAGTTTGAGCTGAGATATGTTGTACCTGCATAAAACCATACAGAACTCGGAATATTCGAGAGTTAATCGGGTAAATGCGACATAAAACGGATAAATTTTATGATAAATATATGATATGATTTCGCGTTATCAGTCGTCCCTCTGGAAAGAAGTGTGAGCATTGGTTGACCCAACAAGAAATGCAATCTGCACATGTTCATGTCTTGATCAACTGCATTGAAGTTAAACCATATCTTGAGTAAGTATAATCCAACTTTTTAATTTTCTTTACAGTGTGAATATAAAATTGATTACCTTGAAACTTATAGTGTGTTTCTTTTTAGGGAATTTAACAACGCCTATTTTGATAGTACCGGTGTACAATCAACATCTGGTGTCATTCATGCCCAATTTCCAACATGGTTCAAGGAGAAATTGTATAGGGTTGTTGCACCGACTCCAGAAATACTCCATTTGAGAAACTTGTCTAATGGCCCTCGTCAAAGTGCAAACAAATGGCACACATACTTCATGAAAGGATATAAATTTCACACTCATGAATGGACTGAAGGGAAAAAAAACCATAAACAATGGCGTATTTGTGAAAGGAGTTACAGATGGTGGTGAAGATGACCTCTATGGTTTTGTTAAACATATCTACGAGTTAGTATACAATTACTTGGACTCGGAAAATAAAGTTGTCTTGTTTTATTGTGAATGGTATGATCCAACTAGAGGCACAAAAATAGATAAGACATATGGTACTGTTGAGATTCAAATGGACCGGAGGTACAAAGAGTACGACCCTTTCATAATGTCAAATATTGTTAGGCAAGTTTATTATGTTCCTTATCCTTCATTTGTGCCACGTAAACGACGGTGTTGTGTTGTAATAAAAACAAAACCATTGGGTTATATTGAAACTGACGATCTAGTGGAGGATGTTGCTTACCAAGTTGATGAAGTTGAAGTTAATGATGTGATTCCAGATGAACACACTACAAGTTTGTCTGATACAATGGTTGAGGGGAATCAAGTTGATGAGGATGAAGATCATGAAGATTCTGGATCCGAGGATAATATCACATCAGATGACGAGGATGATATGGATGACGAGCATGACGATTTAGAATAGTGAACCTATATTAATGAGAATTGTGTCTTGTAATTTTACTTAACGAACCATCTATTGAATGATTTAATGAATATGTATTCATGAGAATTGTGTCTTGTAATTTTACTTGACGAACCATCTATTGAATGAGTTAATGAATATGTATTCATGAGAATTGTGTCTTATAATTCAAATATATTATATGTTAACTTGTATTTTCTATAAATAGGTAAAAATGCCACCCAAAGATAATAAGGGTAAAGGTCCTAGTGATAGTGGTAGGAAGCCCAGGCGTCCAAGGGTAGTAGTATGCCAGTCACCTCACTCAGCCACGTGTCCTCCCCCGCAGAGTCAGGTTCATCATATGTCCATGGACAATACTATGCCATTTACACCATTACTATCATCTCAGAGTCCTCTTCAGTTCCCATCTGGGAGTCCATGTTTTATTAGTCCATCTGGGGCCCCACCTAGTTTACCATTCCAACAGACACATGTGCCCTCATCCTTCTAGCACAGTTTTCCATTTCCCACACAGATGCCCTTATTCGTGTAGTAGCCTGAGCAGCCCACTTCCTACACAGATGCCCCCATCCGTCCAGCAGCCTGGAGGATCCACCTCTTCACGACCCACACAGACTGGTCGCACCCCACATCCCACACATGTACCTGCATCCGATGATCATGCAGAGTCGGATGATGACGATCTTGGTGTGGATGATGATCAGATAGATGGGAGTGATCTTCGAGGGGATGATGATCCGAGTGAAATTCATACCATTGATGGGAGATTTTGGATTTGGCCTGAAGGGAACTCGTAAGTTTCTTATTTATTAATTTTTATTTATAAGTACACATTTCCATTTTTAATATAACTTTATATAATTAATTATGCTAATTCAATTATTGTTGTTTTAGTTTCGGGCCGAGTCGGACTGCTGCTAGGGTTATAAATTATATAATTCAGCAGAATTATACAATTTTTTTGAAGAGTTTTAGAGAATTTTCCGATAAAGAAGAATGGTTTAAGCAATTTCAGGTATAATTAATTTATTTCTTAAGTTATTTTTATTTAAATGACCTTTTCATTATTGTTATAATTTATCTAACTATTTATTTTAATGTCATACAACATTGCAGGTGAAATGTGTTTGGGATCCACTGAACCATAATAAAGTAAAAAAAAATTATTTTGGCAGGAGTTCAAGACGACTTTCTGACATGCTACGACGTGTTAGAGAGAATTGGCAACTTTTGGGCATTCGTCCCAAATGGATAGGCAAAGAAGTTTTTGAACAACTTCTTAAGTATTGGGAATCAGATGAATTTAAGGCTAAATCTGAAAATGCAAAGAAGATGAGGGCATCGGAAAAAGGGGGTTGTCTTAATGCTGTTGGAAGTATTAGTACTGTTGAGCATGCTCGACGCATGGTAATTATTACCACTTTTTAAAGTCATATTTGGATTTATAACATATTATTAATTTAAGTTAATTTTTTTATTTAGGCTAAGCGTTTGGGGAGACAACCATTGATGACTGAGCTGGTTACGGAAACTCGGACAAAGAAATCGGGAGGATTTATTGACGAGCGTACAAAAAAAGCCCTGGTAAGTAAATTTATGTTTATATTTTTTTAAGCAATTTTGTGACGTGATTTTCACGTAGCAAGTGACATGTTGTAGCGTGAAAATTGAGTGGCAACTGATAAGTTGTGGCGTTACAATCACGTGGCTATTTATTTTTTATTATTATTTTTATTTAATTTAATTTCATTAGTTTTACTTATAAATTTAACTTGATTTTTTTATTGTATGTGTAGGAGGATTATCAGGCCTTGCTTGTAGAATTTCTGACCCATAATCCTCAGTATACTCCTCCTCCGGGAAAACCGGTTTATCCAGATGTGGATTTCTATATTTGGAGTCAAGTTGTTGGAGGAAAGGGGCCTAACGGATGTTTTTTTGGTGGTGGAAATTTGGCAGGCACCTTGAGGAGTGGGGATAGAAATTTGTATCAGAGAGCTGCAGACGGTGAAGGAGGGTCACGTCAAACAAATTTGACACCAGATCAGTTAGAACTGGTAAGACAATTGACTAGACGCGAGTCCGAAGAACGTGAGGCGGCATTGAAGGCCCAAATGGAGGCAATGAGGGGTGAACATAATAGACAAATGGAGGCAATGGCGAAGAGGCAGGCTGATATGGAGGAGCAAATGCGACAATTTATGCAAGCATTTGGTAGAAATCCCAACAGTGGTGGACAAAATAATGATGACTTTCTTCGCGACTTTTCCGACGACTCGAATGATTCAGCTTAGTTTTATTTTTATTTTGTATTTAGTTTTTTATTTGTGTAATATAAATTTATAATCATATTGTATATTTAAAAATATTATAAATTTAAATTTTAGTTTATTAAATTTATAATATTAAGTATATTAATTTATACATTTAGATATATTTAGTTTTATTTTTGATAATTTGATTTATAATATTGTATTTACTAAATAAATTATAATATTTAATTTATAAATTTAATAAAACAAAAAATAATATTAATTATTATATCATAATTAATATATTTAAAATACAAAATAATTTTTTTTTTAAACAAGTTGCGGCGTGTTTTTTCATGTCACTAATTAGTGACGTGAAAAACACGCCGCAACAGCAAACGTAAAAGTAAATATAAACCTGCTCTGACCCTCTGCTCTGTTCTGAATTGCTTTGATCCTATAAAGTTTGTTGCGGCGTGAATTTCACGTGGCAACGTTGTGACATGTTTTTAACGCCGCAACAAAATTGGCACGCGCTCTCCAGCGACGTGTTCCTTAAGGTGACAAAAATGGAGTTGTGGCATGATTTGGGTGTTAGCGACGTGAGATTCACGTGGCAAAACACAACTTATTTTGTAGTGTAAGAAAGATGATGTACCATTACCAATTCAGTTTCCATATAGCTTAAATAAATGGACGTTTAAAGAAAAGAGACAGAAGAGATTCATATGCATCTATTAAAAAGTTAAAGCATCAAAGTAATCCGAAAAAAATTAAGAGATCTATCTAAATCCAAAAATATAATTAAGGAATAAAAAATGTATTTTGGGTATCTTTAATCCACATATTTACTTGGCAAGCTTATTTATAAGACTTTTATATTTGGAACATTTATCTTCATATTTACCACGGCCACGAACTAATCAACAGATGAAACATAAGAAAATGGGAAAGCAGTGCATACAAGTAACTGCATGATTATTATCAATTCGTTTACATCCCTGCTTGCTGGTCTCCATCAGATTTAAACAGTGTTTTACTACTCAACACACCATATAGTCGAAAACAATTTACACTTTATTCTGAACCACATCAATTCATTGATTTAATTGGCTAATATTAACTAACAAAGAGCTCGTATGGTAACCGAGGTTTGGCTATAACCTCTAGTGGCGTGGTTTTGATGTTTGTGAGTCCAAACGTTGCACTCATATCAACATTACCATTCAACGGGGTTGTGATTTCAAACGCTTGCAAGAAAGCAGCTAATGCCAAATGTGTCATTTGAAGACCAAATGTTATACCAGGACAAGACCTTCTTCCACCTCCAAACGGAAGCAGCTCATAATGTTGTCCTTTAACATCAACATCCTTATGAGTATTCAAAAACCTTTCTGGTTGAAACTCTAATGGTTCCGACCACACGCGTGGATCTCTATGCATCTTCCAAAGGTTCAAAATCAGTCTAGTACCTGTTTCAATATGGTATCCGCCTACGGTGCAATTTTCGGTGAATTGACGTGCACCTGAGAGTGGTCCAGCAGGATATAATCGCAGTGTTTCTTTCACCACAGCTTGAAGGTAAACTAAGTTGTTTATGTCAGATTCATTCACTAGCCTTTCTTTCCCAACTTTTTCATCTAATTCATCTTGAACTTTCTTCAAGGTGTGGCGATTGTTTAGCAGTAATGAGAGTGCCCATGTTATGGTTACTGTTGTTGTGTCTGTTGCCCCGGCAATTAACGTCTGCAAACAAAATAAAAAAGCTAGCAATTACCATAGCATCACACAATTTAAAGATTTGAATATATGCAACATTCGTCTCTAATATTACAATGAATGGGAATATATCTCTGCATGTAGATTTCAACCAAATATTATATTTAAGGAAAATGTTAATGAATGTTTCTAGAAGATTCATTAAAGAAATAAGAATAGAATTTCTGTTTGTAGTGCCACTAACAAAAAAAAAGTGTATATTATATCGCCACGATATGAAGAAAGATGCACATGTAGGGATAGGATGGATCATGGCAGAAGAAAAACTTGCAAATATATTGTTACAGACAACCAATAAAAATAGAGAAAACATTTAATTTATTTAAAATTTAATTTATTTTTAAACTGATATTATAGAATAGTTGTGATAATGAAAAAAAGAAGTATTATATTTTTAATTTTTAATTAATAAAAAAATACGATTAATTATTTATAAAACTAAATGTTATATTTATGTGTAATTAAGTTTTTTTCTTCTATGCGGATAAATGAAGAAATTGAGTAGAATGTGGGGCCCAACAATCACGCACAAAAGGGGATTCATGCACCACCCACCTAAGCCGCCACCGATCAGAACTAAATTTAGTAGTCCACCCGATAGTTGAAGTGTTTGACTATAAATATAAATTTTGTAATCATTGCAAGACACAATCAATTAAAGAAAACTATTTCACATATTTATCTCTCTTACTTAACTTAAATTTCGTATTTCATAGTTTATTAACACAACTTTGAAAAAGGATCCGATGACTTTTAAAATTACTGACTTTGCTACATGTTGTATTTAACATTTTTTAAAGTAGTAGTCAAGAAATTTGTAACAGAGAGAAGTAGTTTATGTGGTGCGCTTAAAGAAAAAAATACACCGTACTATTTAGAGCTATAAGCGGACCAGTAAATTTTTTAATTCCAATATTTTTTTTTGGTATTTTATTGTTCATCAATATGATAAATAATGAAATATTATAATATTAAATAAACTTTTTTAAAAATATTTTTTTTAAAGTTATTTATTTATTTTTAGATTAAAAAAATATTAATATAAAATTATACAATTAATCAATTTTATAACTTTATTAATTAATATTTTATATTATATTAATTAATTTTATTTAATTATTATTCTGGACTGGGCTAACACTTGTTCCACCGTTGGAGATGTCCAGTCTAGTGCCTCTATCAAAGATCTAAAGTTGCAGCCCAACATAATGACCGTTAGGCATTTTTCCACGTGTCTATTATGAAGACGTTGTCCACGTGTCCAAACCGTCATCATATTGTCCTCTAGGAATAACGGGTCCAGTATCTACTTTCTCGAGGCAATTGACCAGGGAGGAGGCCACATGCTGGATCCCATACACACATAAACCCTGACAGTCTTCTTTGTTGGGCCTCATCATGGCCCATCATTGAAGAACTTAGTTCGGCGTTGGGGCTACAAATACCCTCTCATTTGAAAGGGCCAGGTATTGATTCTTTAACTCACATTCTCATACTTATTTTAGCATCGGAGTGTCTTACAGGTACCCCCTCCCCCCACTTCACATCAAACTGTTGCTCAACAAAAAGCTCGAAGGCCTTGACAGTCCCTTCTGATCAGGTACGATCAGTGGCGTCGTCTGTGGGAAACTAGCTTCCCCGCCTCCACCGCAAGACTAAAGCAACCTTCCATTAAACTCTGATTATCATGGTCGATCAAGTTCCCAACAACTACCAAAACGCCCACCTCGCTGACATCAACAACAACGTTGGCGACAACATTGGTAACAACAACATCGGGAACGACATCGACATGGCTGGTCTCGAGCAGAACTATAGAGACAGGCTGACCGCCTCTTCATCATCCCACTCTCGACCGCACGAGGATGTCCACGCCCCCTAAAACTATGAACCAAATGCTTTCCAGGAGGTCCCCGTCCCTGTTGGCGTTGATGCCACGACCAAAGCTCTATTCGCGACCATCAACCAAACAAACTACTTGATCTTCTCGCAAGGCGAGCGACTAAGAGCGCTCGAACAAACTCGTCGGGCCCCGAGGAGACACAAGAGACCTAGCACTCCTCCTCCCCGTCAGAACGAAGACCGTCCTCACTCTCCTCCGCAGAGATATAGAAGAGACAAATTGCGAAGTTGTTCTCCCCGACGGACTGGGCGAGGCCCCGCGTTAGAAAGGATATTACCCGACGACACCAAGAGACGCGGCCACGCCTCCCCGCGCCAGGATCACTGATCCCCTAGAAACAGAAACAGAGGAAACATAAGAGTGCAACCTCGCCCAAGGGACCTTCCTCACGGCCAGGGGCGTCACCATGACCGCCATTACAATCGGTCCCCCTCTCACTCTCCCTATAGGAGCGATGAAGACGACCCCCGCGATCCTTTATCACAAGCGATCATGGAGGCGTCCATTCCCAAAGGAATGAAGAAACCTCCCCAATTGAAGGAATATAATGGCTTTGCAGACCATGTCAACCACATCGACGGGTTCGAGGCAATGCTCCATTATCATAACATCGGGAGACCGATCAAATGCCGGTTGTTCCCCACGACCTTGAGGAAAACTGCAATGGACTGGTACAAGAACATCTCCCCAGAGTCGATCACCTCCTAGAGAAACCTCAAGAACCAGTTCATCAGCTCCTTTACAGCGTCTCATCGACACCCAGAGACTTAGGCCGTCCTTGAGGCTATCGTCCAAAGAAGCGACCAGACCCTCTGGGAATATATTGATAGGTTCAACCGCGAGGCCATTCAGGTCCTGTGCATCGATCACATGTAGAGGTACTTGCTCGAGAGAGGACTCCTTCCGGGAACTGAATTCAAAAAGGTTGTCGGTATTGAGCCCTCTGGTTCTTTCGACGCCCTCCTCAAGAAAGCTAGAGCCTACATGGACTACGAGGAGAAGGAGGCAACCAATAAAGCCCCTGACTCGAGGAATCGCGGACCGGCCAACATCCCACGATAGTAGGACGTGGGCCTTTCTCGAAGGACTGGAGAGAAGAGAAGGGATGAGAAACCACGAGATCCCCACGAGTACCGGGGACCAACAAGGAGGTTCATAGAGTACACTCTAATGACCGCTTCTCGCGAGCGTATCTTAGCGGATTGCTCCAATACCGACTTCAAGGACGGCAGCGTCAGACGTCCTCGACCTACTCCTACGAAGCCCAGGGCGGACAGGACGAAGTATTTCCAGTACCATCGGAGTCACGGGCACCTGACAGAAGACCGCGTCCACCCCAGGGACGCCATCGCAACCCTCATCAAGGGTGGCTGACTCGGGCAATACCGGTGCAATGATGCCCCTTGCTGAGACGCCCGCGAGGTAAAGGAAGTCGAGGAAGAAACCTGACCTTCAGATGAATCAGCCCCCATCTAGATAGCTTTCTCTATGACAATACCGGAGGACTTCCACGTCCCCGACAACTACGTGGACGAACAATTACCCACGCACAACAGATGGGAAAATTCCCCTCCGTCGTGGTCATAATCGGTGGTGGATTCAATGACCTCTCCATCAACTCTGCAAAGAGGAATCTCAATGAGTTGGTGGATGCAGCCTCAACCCAATCAGTGACACTCGATAATTTCAGAGGAAAATATGAACCGATCACTTTCTACCTGGAGGAGTTGCCCGACGGGGCCCCCAACTCAAGCATCCCTCTGTTGGTGAGGGCAAGGATGTCTAATTTCAACGTGCACCACATTTTGGTCGAAGAGGGGAGCTCCGTTGGCGTAATGTACATCCATCTATTTTGAACCCTATAGCTCGACGAAACCCACCTGTCACCATACGTGGGGTCTGACCTACAAGGATTCAATAGATCGACCTCCAAACCATGGGGCTACATCGAGCTTTTTGTCACCTTTGGGGAAGAGACTGCCTCCCGATAGATTAAGGTTCAATTCCTGGTAATCGACTATCCGTCCCTCTACAACTGCATCCTAGGGAGACCAACTTTGGCCGAATTGACCATCGTGCCCTCCACCATCCACTTAAAAATGAAGTTCTACACTAGGAGAAGGCATGTCACTACCATTTCGGGGACATCTCAACTGCAAGGAGATGTTTTCACGCAGCCTCCAAAGGGAAGAGCATGGTCGACACTAGAGGGCGACCAGCCAAAAAAGCCACCACTGTTCGACCAGAATCCCAACCTGCTCGGGTCGAAGAACAAAGAGCTCCACCAAAGATCGACTCCATCTCCCTTGACACTCGCTTCGACAAGGATGAAGTAGAAGTCCCTCGTGGTGAACGAGATCCTCTCTGACCTATCCCAGACGGAGACTTCGAGTTCGTCTCTTTCAGCGAAGACCCTCTCAAAGGCGTGAAGATTGGCATCAGACTCCCTGGTCTGGCGAGGAAGCAACTCAAAGCATGCTTAATGGAGAACGTTGATTTGTTTGCGTGGAGTGTTGCGGAAATGCCCAGACTCGACCCTGAGGTCTCCTGTCATCGACTCACCGTGGATCCAGCCGCTAGGGAAGTAGTACAACGTAGGCGTAGGCAGTCTACCGAGAAAGCAGAGGTTGCTGAAAAAGCTGTAAAAGACCTCCAAGAGAAAAAATTTATTTGAGGCCCGATATTCAACATGGCTCTCAAACGTTGTACTTGTTAAAAAGAATAATGGAAAATGGAAAATGTGAGTTGATTATACTGATCTTAATCGGGAATGCTCCAAAGATGTTTTTCCTTTATCTAACATTGATATGTTGGTCGACAACTCGGCCGACTATAAAAGTTTATTATTCATGGATGTCTACTCGGTCTATAACCAAATTCCAATGGCCATGAGGGATAAGCACTGCACCGCCTTCATGACAGGCTCGGGCAATTACTACTACAACGTAATGCCCTTCGGTCTAAAAAACACGGGGGCAACATATCAGCGGATGATGAACAAAGTCTTCCGCAACGAGATCGGCGATATGCTCGAGGTATATGTGGACAAGATGATCGTCAAATC